GGGGGGGGGGGGGGGGGGGGTTCAGGGCCCCCAGAAACGTGTCTGCACTGGACAAGTGTGGGGGGAGGATCAGGGCTCTGGGAGCAGGGTTTTAGAGATACTGCAGGGACTGACAGGACTTCTACAGAGAGGGGCCAGGTATCAGGGAGGATGGGAGGAAGGAGGAGGCTGGGAATCCAAGGAAAGGAAGCGGTGGGAAGGAGTTGAGGTGCATGTACACCAATGCTAGGAGCATGGGTAATAAGCAGGAAGAGCTTGAAGCTCTCCTGGGAATAGGAGGGTATGATCTGGTGGGAATCACAGAAACTTGGTGGGATGAAAGGCAAGTCTGGAATGTGAACATAGAAGGGTATCACCTTTTTAGAAAGGATAGGAAGGGAAAGACAGGTGGGGGCGTGGCTTTATACGTCAGGGAAGGGATAGGATGCAGTGAGATAGAATGCAGCACAGATGGGGATTCGGCAGAGGCAGTCTGGGTGAAACTTAGGGATTTTGACAGGGAAAGAGACCTGATAGTGGGGGTATGTTATTGCCCTCCAGGTCAACGTGAGACCCTGGATGATGTCCTGACAGGCCAGATTCTAAGGATACCTCGGGGGAGAGACACAGTAATTATGGGAGATTTCAATCTCCCGGATGTTACTTGGGAGACTCACTCGGTGGTGACAGCCAGGTCACGTTGCTTCCTAGAAGCTATTGAGGGAGCGTTTTTCGCACAGAGAGTCCAAGAGGCAACGAGGGGGGAAACATCCTTGACTTGGTCTTGGCCAATAGGGAGAAGCTGATAGATGAAGTACAGATTAGGGGAGCTCTGGATGCAAGTGATCACTCCATCCTTTGCTTTGAGATCAGGGGACTGCAGACGGGCAGCAGGTCAAGCACTAGAAGCTGAGACTTCAAGAGGGTCAACTTTGGCCAACTGAAGGCCAGACTGGGGAAAGATTGGGGCATAGGAATAGCTGTCATAATTACATGTTAGGTGATAAGTGGCTGGAGAACAGCACTTGTGAAAGGGACCTCGGGGTACTGGTTGACTGCAGGCTAAACATGAGTCAGCAGTGTGATGCAGTGGTCAAGAGGGCGAATGCCACCCTTGGTTGCATAACCAGAAGTGTGGCTTCTAGATCAACAGAGGTATTACTACCAATCTACATGACTCTAGTGCGCCCGCAACTGGAGTATTGTGTTCAGTTTTGGGCCCTCATTACAGAAAGGATATAGTCAGGTTAGAGTCAGTGCAGCGTAGGGCCACAAGGTTGGTGGCCAGTTTGCAGGGGATGCCGTATGAGGCGAGACTGAGGGAACTGGGTTTCTTCAGCCTGGAGAAGAGGAGGCTCCGAGGGGATATGTTGGCAACATACAGGTATGTGAGGGGATGTCACATGGAGATGGGTAGAGGCCTGTTCTCCCCTGCAGAGGAAGGCAGGACGTGCTCCAATGGAGCAAAGTTCAGGGAGGCAAGGTTGCATTTGGATGCCAGGAAGCACCTCCTGACAGTCAGGACCCCGAGGGTGTGGAATGGGCTTCCACGAGAGGTCGTTGAGGCCCCATCGGTGTGGGTGTTCAAGGATAGGCTGGACGTGCACATGGTGGGCATGTCGTGAACGGAGCCGGCTGGTGCCAGAGGTCAGACTAGATGGCCCGGGAGACCCCTTCTGACTCACTCTGTTTTCTATGTTTCTATAACAGAGGAACCACAGTGCATTTTGTGGTCCTCCTTTTGAAGCCTCTAACTTTGGATGGAGGATTCTGCATTCCCATTCCTTCCTCTGCCCCATCCCAGAAACAAGTCTGATAGCTGTCTGTCAGTGCCAAAAACAGGATTTCAGATAACCTCACAGAAAGCAGGGAGGGAATTCCAGTGGACGGAAAAGGCATGGAGAGGAGAGTCCAGGATCTGCTCCACCTTCTTGGTCCTCCGGCCCAATTGTACACTGTGATGCAGTAAGATGACCACCCTGGAGGGGTTTAGAAGCCCTCTAAATGTGGGGGACAGACCTCTGCTCTTCCTTACTTCCTGGTCACAGCTCCTCAACAGGGCATTGGATACAGGGAAGCTTCCAGCACTGGACATGACCGTCTAACAGGTAGCAATCCCATAGGATTATGCCTGAAACTTACTAAATCATAACCAGTGACAACAGCTAAAATTCAGAATTGCAGGCACTGAATCATTAAATGCTGAGTCAAACAAAGAAACTCTTGAACATGCAACTAACTTGCATCAGCGTTAGGAGTGGGGTGAGCACATGCGCATCCGTTATTTCTGAGTGAAGAGCATTCCAGAGTGGATGCTACCCCAGGGACAGCCCTCTTCCCAGTTGTGGCACAACCTCATTTATCTGAGGGTGGAAGAGCCTCTGATGGATGGCCTCAGGGGCTAGGCAGCTGTACACGACTGAGCAAATGAAATGAAATTTAAAATTACTTTCACATTTAACTAAAAATCTAATGTTTAATGATGATCTACCCCACATTTACTAGAGTGAACTCTTTCCCCTACTGCTTTTGTAGGCCTTACTGGAATCCCATTGCTAAAGGCTGTTCTGGTAGGTGAGAAACTATGATATGGCAGGCTTGGGCAGTGTGGTGGTTAGAGTGCTGGACCAGGAACCCAGAAGATCCAGGTTCTAGCTCCACTTGGCCACGAAGCTCATTGGGTAACTCTGGGCCAGTCAATCACTCTCAGTGTAATCTACCTTACAGGATTCATGTTATGAGTATGGAATCGAGTGGAGGACTATGTAAGCTAACCCTAACCCTCATAAGACGGATACATGTATCGTAACAGTAATAAAGGAGCTCACTTAAACACAAAGAGTGCCACTTAAATAAATAGAATGCTAACATTTTATTTTACCTCTTTGCTTTAACATTTCAAAGTGAAACAAAAGCCTATTTTTAATTCTCTTTTCAGGTAGCTCAAAGTGGAGAGTTCAAAGCTTTTGACTATGGTTCCAAAAATATGAAAAATTATAATCAGGTAAAACAAAAATTGAACAATGAAAGTGATTTATGGTAACCAAAAATAAAGAAAAAATATTTAAAAACCCACACTGTTTTAATTTTGCAGGGTGGCACTCAGATTACAGCTTTCTCTGGGTTCAGTTCTGATTAGAGGCAGGGTTGGCTCTAAATCAGTGTGATGCTCTGCCTAGTTATGGAATAATGAGCCAGATTAGTGTAGCAGAGATCTTGAATGGCAGAGGCTTACCAAGGAGGAAGCAGCTGAACTAGAAGTTTAGTGGTAAAAAGCTTAGTTTTTCATCCATGGCTGAAGGTAAAAAAGGTGCTGCTTCAGCATCACATAGTCTTTCTAAAAGACAGAATACATTGAGCCAAAGGTGTTTTGGGTGGGTTTTTGGAGTTTCGGATTTTTTAAATTTTTGGTCTCCAACATATCTATTAGTAGAAATGAATGAGATCATTAAGACTGATCAGTTGAGGGAAACTCTAGATCTATGAAAGCAGGGAATATGCATTAAAACCTTTGTAGGTGGTGCGTACATAGACCCTGCCAAGGGCCTAGGTGTGTGTGGAAAGCAAATGAAATAAAAGCATAATGGCTTCAAACAAAAATAGAGAAGGGTAGAATAAGCAGGGAATTGAGGGACGGACTCATCTAGAGAATAGACAGTCCAAGAGATGATGAAAGGAGAACGGAAGGGTTCAGAGCATGAGATGTTGATGCAACCATAATTCAATTACTAGATCTTAGAGATTTTTTTCTTCCACTTAGGTTTCCCCTCCTTTTTACAACATAAAAGATATGAATGTACCAACAGTGGTGTGGAGTGGTGGAAAGGACATAATGGCAACACCAGAGGACACTACAGAAGTGCTCTCTCTTCTTGGAAATTTAATATACCACAAAGAAATTCGTCATTGGATGCATTATGACTTTGTCTTTGGCCTTGATGCCCGTCAAGAAGTGTATGATGAACTTGTTGAAATCATGCAATATTTCCCATAAATGGATTGTTCTCATCAGAATCACAATAAGACTCCGCTTCCAGAACACTATTATTTAACAGACTAAATGAGTATTTCACTTAAGTGGTTAGTTTCAGCTGGTGGTTCTTGTTGTTTAAGGTTATAGTGCCACACTAATCATGTAAAAACTAAAGTGCGGTGAAATATGTTCTGAAAAAAATACCACCTGGAATTTTAAA